TTTTTTTTTTTTTTTTTTTTTTTTTTTTTTTTTTTTTTTTTTTTTTTTTTTTTTTTCTTCATAACAACTGTATTGTTATGTTTTTCTGGAGTATGGAGAAACGCGTTTTGCGACAATTTTTTTGTTACCATTGACTTTTCAACTCTTACAACCTACAAATTGATTGTGTAATTAAAGTTTTTGCATCGCGAATAAAAGTTACAATTTTCGACTGTTTAGTTGTTATGAGAAAAGTTCGCGGAAAGGTGTCTTTATTCTTATGTCGGTACGTAGATACGAAACTATTCGGATGGAAATTTCTGCCTCCCATTATTGTTTAAAGTTTTTACGCAACTAAATATCATTAAGAAAATCGAATGCATCAGTATGTTGCCAATTGTTGGTTTACCTCAGAAAGGATATCCTTATCAATGAGTACTTACTTAACTTAGTCATGCAAGTAAAAAATCTACTCGCCATATTTATCGTTTACATATTAAAATCAAATGAAAAACGAGTTTATAAATAAATCTTCACAATTTATTGTCATATATTAGTGTTACAATTGCTTCGGTACAGTGTCCAGTGTACAGGGTACAGTGTACCGAAACAATTGTAACACTAATATATGACAATAAATTGTGAAGATTTATTTATAAACTCGTTTTTCATTTGATTTTAATATAGAATTAAATCTTCATCAAGTAACGACCAAAAGTATTAATTTTTATCGTTTACGTTTGACCCCCGCAGTTACAAATTACGTAAAAGACTTTCTTAAATTATATGAGGTATTTGTATCATCACTTCAGGGGGTACAAAGTTCTTTTATCAAAAATTGCGTTGAATTTACAGCTTAGCCGCGTTGACTAATGATGAATTGATATCATTATTCCGTGGGTTAAAAATGAAAAGAATAAGAGGAAGGGCCAACGATACCCAGAGTCAAAAGTGAAAAAAAATAAAAAAAAAAACTGGAAAAGGGAGGATTGGGTACAATACAGCTAGAAGTATCCTGAGATCCGGCGGCTTTTACGAGTCCCGGGGGGAGGTCAGAAACCCCCTCGCTAGAAATTTCCAGCGACTCGCAGGGGGCGGGCATAAGGCAAGATTTTCGGGATAACGAGAAATTCGGCTCTACCATCGAATTTCCCGCAGGATTTGCCGTTGGAGCGATCGACCGCGTTTAAAGTGGCTCGGTAGCCAATAGCCGCGTGTATTGGCCCTGAACCTCTTTTCCATTTTTTTTTCCATTTTCATTTTTTGTCGTGCGTTTACGGGAGATTGAAAAATTCAAGACCTCTCTTGAATATTGAATTTTCAGGTCTTACCATCGGCGAAACGAAGCAGTGCGCGCATTTTTCATGCGTGAATCGAACGTATTTTTCTCCCTTTTGCTCTTTTTGTTGGTAGTGAAAAGCAAGTTCAAATGGTAAATTAGCTCTTTTACGAATTTCTTTGGATATGTTTATCGTTCGGTGGTTTTTCAATCGGGATAATGACGTAACCCATTTTTACGAGAGATACTTACGATTGAGAATTAAAAATGTCTGAGCTCCTTACGTGAGTATCAAAAATGAAATTTATAATTAAAACTCGACTCTAATGGAATATTGTTTGACAAAAAAAATTTTTTTTTAAATCCACTTTCGTGGAAACATAATGAAATGAAAGACATATTGTACGTTACATTAAATTATTACTAGCAGGGATTGATATTTATTAGTATTCGTTTGTATGCTGCTCATGTATGATATTATAAGATAATATATTCACTCATTATTATAGCTATTATCAAATAAACGACGGAACGATTCAATCACTTGATTGACATGAATTCAAAATTTATGTTTTTTTAAAATTAATCAATTAAGCTTATTCGTTTGTCATTGATTGACGTATACTTGATATTTGAATTAAAGGTAGATTAATATTATCGATAATGCCAGGTACGTTTTAATATATCACTGATATCGTTATTGGAAATAATACAGCCACTTGTGAATAATTGTCGATTAAAACTGATTATTAGTATCATCGTCGTGTAGTTGACATAATAATTTATCTCGTTTTCATAGATCATAATTTATCATTTCACTCGTGTCACATTACAATCTCGTCTGAACTCAATAGCGATAAAAATGATTGATTGAGTAAAAGACAATACGAATAAAATCAATAAAAATGACAGGTCACTACGCTGAATGTGAGTTTATGGAGTACTATGACATGGAAAATTTGGTTGTGCTAGTGTATTGAACCGATAATATGTAAATACTTTTTACGTTAGGTATAAATGTGTATAATAGCACTTACCCAATTCAGGACCGCACACACGGGGTATGACTGAAAAGAGAAAGAAAAAAATTAATTTACCACTGCAATGAATCATTAAAATTTTTATTTTCTTATTTCGTGATTATACACCTCTCCTTTTAGTACATGTAATTGAAATATTGCCATGAACTAATTTGGGTTTACACAATTCAATTAAGAGATAAATACTTTACCACTACACTCATCTACACCATTCAAAATTTTTTCTAAAAATATGTTTAACTTCTGAAAAAGATATGTGAACATGAATCATACCTTTAAGGATGGCGCTGCAATTTTGATGCTCGAAACACAACTTCCTTGCAAACAGGCAGTTCATGACGATTTTTCGTCCTCCTCCTGAAACCAGAAAATAAATACTAGTATTAACTCGTTACTTGTATGATTAACAAATTAAATAAAGTTACAAGATAAGCCAATTTGAGTTATGAATATGTGAACGTCGAAGCGGCCATCGTCAAACGAATAAACTTTGGCCATTAGAGGCGCGTACATCAGAGATACGTTAATGCATGTAAATACGCCCATCAAAAAGTACAGCTGCCGGTCAATGAAAATCATGATATCTACAGCTCAATCAACGCAATGCGAGACTCACCCCCTTTTTTCAATACCTCGCGATTTACTGGTCAACTCCATAATTTATTGAAACGGAAGAGTGACATGTGCGCGATGTATTAACCCTTTGAATGAACGACAGCCTTTCCACAAATGATATCACTGAATTGTGATTTTCGATGAAATGATAACGCCACATGTTTCGAGTTACAATCGGAATTTATCCTGCACGGATTTGCCTCATCAATCATCGGTAGTAAAAATTCATATTGTATAATGGGTCAGTTTTAAATTAAGTGATGAAACGAAACAAAAAAAACTAGGGGTAATAAAAATAATAGTGGTAGCTAATAGAGACGAAATAAAATCGAGGTCAAAATTACTCAAGTAGAGATAACACCACTTGTGTACATGTTGTCATTGCCACCAAGTGAGGGATGGACGGGGGAAGCTCCAAACTCCTCGAAACTACTCATATTAATCGTCGAGTGGAACTGAAGAGGTACTCTTGTCCAAGGGCGTAGTACATAACATATAGGCGTGAATTTGCACGCAATTCTGTGGTTGAAGGGACAATTAACCAATGATTGACCAATAATCATCGCTCGCACGTGTAAAGTGGACAATTAATTACACGTCACACCTATCCCCGTCGAACTATCCTCTCTCTTTGGATTTCCATCCCTTAGCAGCACGAAAAACGTGCAAAAAGAGACTCCATATACGCATAGCTTCACGGTATGCTCGATTGGCCTTAAACGGTGTGGCTCGCCAAGAGCTTCCCTCCATTGAAATCACCCGGATATCTCTCTCTCTCACTTTTTCCTTTCCTTTTTCCTCTCTTTTTCCTTTTTTTCCTTTTTTTTCTTTTTTTTCTGCTGCCCGTGGCCATTAGAATCGTTAAGTCGGGAAATGGCTTTTTCTCGATCATAGAGATCGATGTGGCTCTTGTCCGATAATCACTGCGGTACGCCGTGCAATGACACTTTTATCCGCTTGATATCTGCTGTTTGTGTTTTCAATTTTCTTAATAGATACTTCAATGTAACGCTTGGTACAGTTTTTAGGTATTTTTGTGATACGTTTGACCAATTACCTTTACGAAAGTAATACTGCTACAATGAGAACGAAAAGGCCAAAATTATTGGTGTGCGCGCGCGTGTAAGTAGTAATAAAACCAGCTTAAATACGAAAGAAAGAGACAGAAAGAGGAAGAAGGCAAACAATGTCATAGTTGGCTCGCTCTTCCGGCTCGTTTTACGATCGCGTGATAAGAGAGACTATATGGGCACGGGGTCTTGGGGTCCGTGACAGAAGTGAAGCTTCTGCGCATTTATGATTACCGAAACTAATTTTTTGTCCATCATGAGTTCATACCAGATTGTGATTTTTTTTAAAAATCCCATTGGTATAGATTACTTTTTATTTCATCTACAGAAGGTGGAGGGACTGGGATGTAAAGAACAACACAGCGAGTCGGTACTTTGCTTCTTTGAACATCCCATTGTTCCATATTATTGACTGACAATAGTATTTTCATGCGTACGAATCTCCGTGGAATTGCACCTATCCCGACTGGCTCTCACTTCCATTGATTTTCATTTTTCCACCTTGTCTCCCACAAATTCTCGCACATCCACGTCCATGCGAGGGTGTCGTATCTCCTTGTGTTCCCATATCCCTTGCCCAAAGTGATAAAGCTGTTTGTATGCCGCTTGCAACGTATTATCAATCCGTTTTCTGTCTTTCATAACTCCCCCGCAGAACCAGATGCGCCTTGGTGGAGAAACGCATTACTTTTCTCGGCTGAATGTACGTCTATGCTGGCACTTATGGGCGATAAATTGAATTTCGTCTGTCGTTCATCTCGAAAATGGAATATTCAATATGACACTTGAAACAATTGGAATGAACTTTTCTTGTCGAAAATTGAAAAATCGTAACAAAGAAGCTGTAATTCGAGTACTGTATGCGATTTTTTTTTTTTTTTTATATATACATATAACATTCGCACCCCCTTCATCTGGATAATAAATAAAATTGTTTATTTCGTGTGCAGATTATACACGATGTAATCGATTTTAAAGATAATTTTAGTTCAATAGAAAAAAAAGTATCTGCCATGGTTCGTTGCCACTACAAAGTTTGTATAGTTGCAATTTCTATTCATCGGGTATGCTACGACCGAGTGTGCAAGAGAGAGTGGGATAGCGCGTCTGTGAAGCTGAAAACGTGAGCGGAGGACGAATCGCAGGACACGAGAGAATTACGAAAGGTACTCTGCCGCCCCACGTGTCCCCCCTTTGTCGCTATTTTCGATTGACCTTTGCCCAGCTCATCTGACCCCTCGAGCACCAATAAACTAGGACGCGTCTCTCAGTGCCGTGTCACTTTTTCACACCTGATTATTTTTCGTTTACTGATAGTTTCAAAAAAAATTCCCCTTCAAATTTTTTTTTGTGTTGAAAAATAATTACTTCAGATTTTTTTTATGTCAAGTTGTTTGTGAACTAATTGACAGTTCATCTATATTAATTCAAGTTCTTTGTGTAAAAAAAAATAAAGTATAAGTAACTGTTGGGCCTATAGGAAAAGAGGATAATTGTTCCTGTGAGTGATGTCGAGTAGGGTGCATACGTCTACCTAGTACCATTTTTACCTCTCTATGTTTTACACAATTTTTGTACATTATCTATAAATTACTATGATGATCACGTGTTTAAAAATTATGACTTTCCCTGAATAATCACATTCGGTTTTTAGCAAAAACAATGGGTAACTATCATTAGACAAAAAGTTGTGTAAAGCCTTATTTCTTTGATATTCGTGACGATTAGTACTGTTCAAAATGTTTGTGTTCCCACAATTAGTGATCGTAAGCTCATGGTATATTCCTAAATTTCCTCTTTTTATTTTGCAAGCTTCTTCTATTTTAAAGATATTATATGTAATTTTGATTTTAAATCTTTACCTTGGGGTAATTAATATTTCTCTATTCATACAACCATAGGGAAAGACACCTATGTTGAAAAAAAAAAATTCTTTCTTCATATAAAATAAGTTTTGCCAATAAGTATGAAAAACACTTTGTTTGATCGAACAATATTTTACAATCTAAAATTGATTAAAGACGCAGAATAAAGCATTACAATTCAATTGAATCAAAATTATAACGCTTACCAGTAGTTTTTCTTCCTTGCCATGAAATTGATTAGACATCCAGCTAGCTTTTGTAATTAAATAGAAAATCCTCGCTAGCATACACTTGTACGCGTATTTACAATTTACATTTCCGTTTGACGTGGAAAAATTAATTAGGAATACCCTTGAAAGCGCCCTATAAAATTTCATTGCCTTTTTTCCGCTGTTGCTCTTGATGTTATTATTTCCTCCCTCCCACCCTTAACCCAAGCTTTTTATTGCCACTCGAAATTGCCTTGTATCATCTTTTAAAGAACGACGCAGACCAACATATTTTTAATATCGAGTCCGGCACGTGTTGCGTCAGCGCATAAAGTGGAAAAACGCAAAAGCACAAAAATGAAAAAAACAGACAAGGGGACTAACAACTGAAGTAGTCGATACAAAAACTTTTTCCTGCTACCGTGCCACGATTAACGAGAAACGGAAATATACAGCAAAGGTCTTGGGAGGCCAGCTAGTTTCGATGATAGCATTTCTCACTTACCAGCGAAGAGAAGAGACGAGGAAGTGTTCGATAAAGAGACAGAGAAAGGAGATGGAGAAGCGCGAGGGTAATCCGATTCCACGGGGGACCCGGTAAAAGGGCGTCCTCGAGAGGTAACCCAATAGGACGGGCGAATCCTCAAAGCACCGGACTCGCTGCTCTCCCGACACGTATTTTACGCTCGACTCTTCTTTCCATCCTTTTTTTTTTTTTGAACTTTCCATCCATTCTTGCTTGGATTCGTCGTAATAGTACATGTATACGCTTCAGAAAGCGGTAATTCAAGTTTACCTCGAGTGAAACGGCAGAGCTTGATATTTTTGTTGATTTTGTTGTCTTGCTTGAGTCCCTCAAAAACAAATTTAATTCTGGAACGAGTTAGGGAATATCCTTGGAGGAAATTGTAAGTTTTGATAGGATCATTGACTCGTTTAATTTAATCACCAGTGACATGAGAAATTTTCTAATGCTTTTAAATAATTAACGGCCACGAATACGCTAACGGAAGTTTGATAGATGGAATACGTATAAGGCGAGTTAAAGGGACACAGGTTAATTACTTCGAAGGTGTTGTCAAAAATTCATGATTGAAAATGTCTAATTGTGTTCTTACATGTACCTCAAATATGTGGAAACACGAGTTGGATCATAAACGATGTAAGTTTTGATTTAAATAATGATCAAGTTCACAATATTGCAAAATATCTCGATATTAACTATGCTCTTGCAAATATAAATTTGTGCATACTACATATAAAAATATCGTTGTATTTTGGCTTCATTTCTGAAATTTAAAACGGCATCCACATGATAGTCTTGGATGTAATGTCAAGATTAGAGCTACGAAAGTTAAATAACATTTATTTGCAATCACAGTATTAGTCTTTAATTTAACTTAGTAAACTCCGTTTTACATCAAACTTCATTTTTGATTGTTTATTTTTTTTAAAGCAATGAGAAGTGAAGTTCCGGAGAATCATGAGAAGCATCATTCGCGAGAGAGATAAAGGAAAAAAAAGGGAGTAAAGATAAGCAGCCCCAGCAATTCTGTCTCTATTGGTATTTATAAGCTATGTCAGCCCTGCCAATA